TTTTTCTTGAATGGCAAAATTGATTTCGTTGACGTGTACATTTTTCGGTACCAATATTGCGCGTTCACTTAAGTAATCATTGCGTTGATAGTGTTGAACAATATTCGGAAATACACTTTCAATCAATTCTTCTTTCGATTGTAAAAGTGTACAAAAGTTGTTCTGCAATGTGATCAAACCGGTATCATCGATTGGTATTTTGCCTTCGCCAATGTCCAACAACTGCTTCGAAAACGCCGCTGCGGATCGATCATTTTGCAATTGGACTCGCATGTTGATGGTAAGAGTCAGCCTTTGAACATGTCTCCACAAAACTGACGATTTTAAACATGCCTTTATTTCGTCTTCAGGAGTTGGTCGAGGAATGACTGGCAAAGTTTGCCTGAAATCGCCGGATAATAATACTAATGCCCCGCCAAAAAGTTATTGATTTTGGCGTAAATCTTGCATTGTTCTATTGAATGCTTCTAATGACTTTTGGGCCAATGCAGGCAGTTTCACTTTGCCACCGGAGCAGCACATGCCAGCTGTTTCTCCTCGAAACTTCGCTGCATTGCAATGCGTACAAATAATATCCATTGCTCCAATGGAACCATGCAGGCTGTAGTCGTAGTCAGGATCGTAGTGAAAGCCAACATGTTCCATTTGATCGCGAAGACGAAGCGGAACTCTGCCTTGGCAATAATTTGGCCGTTGCACTGTGTTGCGGCTAGTGGAAAAGTAACTTTTTTCCGATTATTTTTTTCAGTGTTTTTAATGATGCAATTTTGTCACAGACATTCCAAGTAAACAAAAAACACATAAAGCTTATTTTTGTGTTGGCCCGTTGATTTTTAATTGATTTTAGAAGTCAAATTTACAAAATTTTCACGAAAAGAGGGGATTTCAGGGCTGTATTCAAAATGATCTCATTTGATTTTGGTGACAGATATTTTGATTCGGAAAAAAAATCTGCCTTCGGACAAGTATCTTCTGTAAAAAAAAAGGAATGTTGTTTGAGACATTTTCATATGCACCTTTTTTAGAGCGAAACCCCGACTAAAGGTCCATTTTTCCTTTAAATTTGGGTTAGGTAAGCAATATCTAAAAAGTCCCAGAGAGTCCCAGCTCCAAACCACTACAGAAATGTTACATAATTTGTTTTCAACGAACTGTGAAAAAATCAGCTGCCCATACCTGCCCTCCTGGGAGTTATAGCGATTTTAGTATATCACTCTCAGTATTTATTCCATAGAAATAGAACGGAAATTCTCGGAATCACTTATTGAATAATTTAATCATATTGGTTTTCGGGTGACTTTCCGTCATCCCACGTCAAATTTTTATTATTTTCAGACCGGTTTCGGCTAATCGCCATCTTCAGTGTTTTCTTTTTTGTCACTAATTAGTCCGCATGTGTGTCCGTCTTTATATAGTGTTTTCTTTTAGCTTGTGGTGGTACCTTTCTCTCTCTCTGTTGTTTTACTATTTTATTCTCTCTCTTTCGCTCTCTCTCTCTCCCCCTTTGTTTTTACGTCTAGGTAGGTGGGTGAAATAATCCGTTATTGCGCGCTTATTTGTATTGTTTTTATTTTGTGGTTTTTTTTATTTTTATTCTACATCTATTCTAGCACTCCACAAAAATGAGCATAACTCTCTTAAAACTGAAGCTATTGACTTCAAACCGGTATCAAATTAAAGCTTTTATTGCCACCTTTCAAATAAGAAATGAAATAGATTTTGGTTTTATATAAAATTTCAGAGTTTTTCAACAAATATCGAAAAATCATAAAAATTTGACGTTTATAATTCTTGTTCGGACCACCCTATAGTTTATTTAAAAAACTAATCATAGGGTATTTATCAGAAATAAAAGAACAATTAAAATAAATTTTTTTTTGTGAATTTTTCGAACAATTATTTTTTTTTTTTTTACTTTTGTTGAAAATTTGACCCAACAATTTTTTTCGGTGTAAATTTTTTTTTCACTCATTCTGGTTTCATTTCATTGGGATTTCATTCTGACCAATCTGTAGAAGTTTCTCATCGATACAATTAAAATTACAGTTTAGGCAATATGATTTCCAAAAAATTCCGGTTTCGCAACACTGTGCGTTGATTGTCTGCGGATTCAGCTCTAAACTGTGCACGCCGCTCTCTGTACACCGCTCTACCTCGGGCATTCACGCGTATGCCTGCCAACCGTATTACGTCTGCGTAGTGGAGGCATTTTCTAAAGTATTCTTTTCGAATAAATGTAGCAAATCGATTGAATTAAATCTGGAAAAAACACACAATGTTGTTGTCAATGTTTTTTAATAATTGTAAACATTCGCTCACGTTATTTTGGCGGTTAGGGCTCGATATATTGTAAGTAACACCATGTTTCCCTCAACTTATGACACTCATATATCAGTCAGTTTGTCATATGTTTTTATGTACCTAATAAGTATAAGTTCTGATGTACTATAAATCTCATTCACGCTTTATAATATATGTATAATAAAAATAAGGGGTTTATAATAATAATTCTGTTTACTATTTCCGCGAACTACTAGAACAGTCTGCTTTTATCTATGGCGCAGTCTGCGCATGGGCCCGCTTGTTAAACTAATTAGTGATTGTCCAATTTGTGCTAGTTCAATGTTTCCATATTCATTTGCATAAATTAAATTTTTCCATGGTTCCCAAATTTGCAAAAATTCCCAAAGTATAGCTAATATGAAAAAACTGATTAGTATATTTGGAACCAGCGACCTAAATACACACCAGAAATATGAATGCTGTTATTTACATCTTCTGACTAAACACCAGTGCAATTATCAACACAAAAATGGCAAGTTGGTTAAAAAACAGGTAAGTTTGAGAGTAACCATAAATTAAAGGACTGCCAGAGATGATATTTGACTTTGTCGTTTGCTTTTGCAGATTCGTTATCTAATAACATCCACCAAAACTTTTTGGTACTTTGTGTCACTTGGGGGCCGATGCGCGGGCTCTTGCAATTAAAAGTTGCGTTCTAGATGCTTCACGATTTGCAGGTTTTTACAGGAAGTCATTCCAGGTGACCACCTCCCATAAGGTTTATTAATGGAGAAAACAGCTGTTCCTGCAAATCGTGAATTTCGTGAATATCGTGAAGCATCTGGAACGCAACTAAAATAAACAGGATTGTTGTTGACCTCATGATACAATATAAATTCACTATTACCAAAGGATTTGAGAAACATTAAATTTTCGACCCGCCCTATTGAATATACTATTTAATGTCGTAGCCATTTCAAAACTAAAAATCTGTAATGAAATTCATATTCAAGACTTTACCATACGTCTCCGTAGAGCAAAAAGTCTATTTAGCTTGCTAAATACAGCGTAGAGTTGTCGTAGAGTTTTCGATCTATCTGCGTTGGACTGTGTACACGGCGAAAAAGTCTAGCTTAAAGCTAAGCGTACACAGTAGAGAAGAAATGCGAGACTTAGACAAAAATCTCGCTAGAGACCTGTAAACACTCAATAGAGCTTTACGAGAGACTCACCTACAAAGTCTACGTTAGAGTTATTTAGCGAGGCTTTTTCGCCGTCTACACAGTCCAACGCAGCTAGATAGAAAACTCTACGACAACTCTACGCTCTATTTAGCAAGCTAAATAGATTTTTTGCTCCACGGAGACGTATGGTAAAGTGTTGACAATGAATTTCATTACAGATTGTTAAATTTTGAAATGGCTACGACATTAAATCGTATATTCGATAAAAGCACACAATTTTAGGTATATTTAGAACGTAGCCAAATAATGTATCGGGAATCATTCTCTTATTTTCATTGGCATTTCAATGGCTTTTCCAATAGCCTCCTTCCTTTGCAAAGGGGCATTATTATTGGTTAAAACATAAGGGGTATTCACAAATTGAGCAGGTGGTCTGGCACTCTGGCAACAGTCGTTGCTTGAGTTACCTGCTTTTTTGTCGGAGTGCCAGGCCACTTGCCCAACTTGGTGAATACCTACATATACATAGTAATTTGGCTGGAACTTCTCGGAGAAACTCCTTTCAAGGGAATTTTAAATATTTAAAGTTGTTTAATGTGAGTCCAAAAGTACTCATAGTACCGAAGAGAGAGGTTGCCATGTTTAATTTTTAGGTACATTTGTCTACTTTTAAGTAAATTTTTTTCGGCACATAAGTACAATTTGAAAATTCAATTCTTGTTTATATTGCGAAATTGTATTTTATGACGTCAGAAAATAGGTGAATAGCGCTCCGCTGATGACGCAAACTATATTTTCTATATCGTGGCTTTGAAATAAATACATATACATATACATACAACAAGCGTTGACAACAATTCGAGATAGACAACTAACTCTAGGCGCGAGGTAACTATTGTTTACCGTGTACACAGCTTGTTGAGTACGTGGTAGAGAAAAATTGAGATTTCTCTATTTTGTCTCTAGCTAGAGTGAATATCTCCTAGAGTTGCACTACCGTGCAAACTTAATTGAGAGAGGAGATTTTGTTTTCCAGTAAAACTCTAGAGAGATTTCCCTACCGTGTACGCTTAACTTTAGACAGCTTGGAGGACCTTAGATGCGTCGAAATCAGGGATCTTCCAAAATTCGTTCAAAGTTCGAAATGGTTTTAGGAGGGATTAGGAGTTGCTGATCCCACATGCGGCGTCACAATGGGCCCCGAGCCTAAGTGTGTCTTGCAGACGACCGTGACAACCTAACCTATCATAACTATCATCGGATGAATCATTCGTTGAATAGTCGTGACAATAAAATACAGAACTATGTGAAAAAGATGCCTAATTTGACACCTTGGAACTCGTTAAAAAATGGATTTTTTGGCGAATTCCGACCCTATGGTTGGGCTTGAGTTTGTACAGAAATAATTAATTACTTCGATGCAGAAAACTCTATAAGTTGCAATACGAATCCGGATGAACGTAGAAGTAAAAAACCGCGAGCGTACGCTGTACAAGAAGAAGTGAAGACCAACAATTTATTTCAAGTATCGTTTTCACAAAGCTATTGACATTTTAAGAATAGAAGGAATTGGCAAATGAGTGAAAATGAGAGTATGAGAGAATCTCATTATTGAGTACTTATACTAATATGACAGTTCTTAACTTATACTACAGTGTGTTACAAAATTATTTTGCAAGAAATAAAAGTGAATGTTATCACATTTGATTCTAGACCAAACATACTGCCCAACATTGAAACTCTTAGTTTCAATCAATCGGTAGCAATGCCAACTTTGCTAGGGGGCGCCGCAGGATCGTTGAAGCT